AAATCAACTTACATCTCAAACGAACCCATATGCCTCTGTTTGGCAAGTTGATTTTCAGGCTTTTTTGGCTATTTTAGCCACAAAAAACAAAATAGGCTATTTTAGCCATAACAAACAAAACATCACATCCAACCTATAATCATTACATTCTTCTCTCACAAAAAAAGTCAAAAAAGTCAAAAAGCCAAAAAGCCCTTCCTAAACCAAGCTTTTTAGCCCAGGCTAAAATAGCCAAAAAAGCCAAAAAGCCAAAAAGCCAACCTACTTCCCAAACCAAGCCATAGTTCTTTACCCAGGGTTTGGTTGAGTGGATAGACCTTAGGTATTATGTTAGGAAAATGTCTCGTAGCTCAAATTTTGTGGCTCAAAAGTGGTTCAAATGGTAAAAACGACGTCGTTTTTGCCATTTGAACCACTTTTGAGTCACAAAATTTGAGTTACGTAGCATTGTCGATTATGTTAAAGATGTTAAAGATTTTAGATTCAACTCTTTTTGGATTAGTCATTTGGGCAAAAGCACACAAAGTTAGAAAGATGTACTTTCTAGATCTCGACGAATTATACTCAGTATTAGGTTCAAATCCTTGTCTATGTGGCAATTTGAAAAGTTGATAAAAAGTCAATTTTTTGACTTTTTATCAAGTTTTTTAAAAAAAAGTCACAAAAAAGCTATCAAAAAAGTCAAAAAGCTAAAAAAATAACTTTTTATTAACTTTCCAAAACATCTCTATATATAAGTTCATAATTTATCATTGGCCCTGTTTGGTAGGGCCTATTTCCAGCTTATTTAAACTTTTAGCTTAATTTAAGCTATTTTGATGTGTTTGGTTCAGTTTAACAATACAACTTATAACTTTTTGTGAGTCAAAAATCAATTTATTCTTTGAGTGGGGAGGAGAAATTTAATTTATAAGTTAAAAATCAGCTTATGTTCACAGGTATAAACTATAAGCTGTTAAATTATAAGTTATAATCACTTTCTTACAATTTTACCAAATGGGGCTATTATATGGTTGAATGGTCATCCTTCTAGGGCCTAACCTTAAAAGTTACTTTTAGTTTTTTTACCTTTATTTTTATTTTTATTTTTTTTTATCTTCGCTCTCTCTCTCTTTTATAGAGTAGTGATTGGTAGCTTGAATTTGAGCCCCCGAATCCCCCGAATTCAAAAAACGACGTCGTTTTTGAATTTATTTATTTATTTTTTTGAAGAAAATCAGAGAAAGAAGGAGGAAGAAGAAGAAGAAGAACTGGAGGAGAGAGGGCCAACAAAATCGGGCTGGAGGCGGAGGCGGGGCCAGAGGCAACGGCGGTCGGAGGCGGGGTTGCCACGAGCTGCTGCTGTGACAATCGGAGCTGCTGCGATGATCGGCCGGTCAATTTGCCATCGATCGGCGACGGCGAAGACGAAAGAAGGGCCCTCTCTCTCTCTATCTCCACTCCCTCTTCTTTTTCTTTTCTCTTTCTCTCTTTCGGGCTGTTCGGGGGGGGGATTTCAGGGGAAAAATCTTTATCCCTTTTTATATATGTATGGCAACAAATTATTTTAATTCCACTTTTCATTTTTTCTCCATTTGTTTGATGCCTTGCTAAAATAGAACCAATTAAAGTTCACTTTTTCTATTTCAAAATTATACTAACTTCATTTGAATTTTTTTAAAAAATACAATAACTTTATAATTTCGATATAATTACATAGACTTCTCTTTTAGTGAGGATAAATAGATCAAAATTAATATAGATGGTGTAAATATACAAAAATAAATAACATAAAATATATATTTTAATATAAAAGATGTGACAATATTATTTTTTCATTCACATAATTAATAAATTATTTATGAAAATGGGGTTAAATGTTATGTGAATTAAAACTTTAAAAGAACTTAATGAAATTATATCAAAATTGTGTGACTTACTATTTTTTTTTTCTCTAAATCTCAAGAAAGGTCAATATAATTTACTCTTTTTATTTGTACTTTTGATATTTATTTTCTCTAAATGAACCTACAGTTTGCTAACCATATAGTTAATTATCCTCTTGCTCTCCCAATTTCTAATGGGAAGATTTGGTCAAAACCTTCTTATAATAAAATTTTAATGCCATAAGGATAAGCATAAAAAATTTTTCTTAAAAAGTCCAACAAATATCATTATTACTAAAATATTAAATTTTAAAATAATATAACTTTTGATGTAGATTTCGGTTTTTAATAAAATTAATATTTTTAGAATTCTCTCATCAAGATCTATCAAATAAGATCTATGTTGACTATGAAATTCTTTTAAAAAAATTATTATCGTTGAAATTGATATAAACAGTAACATGTTATTCTGTCTTACAGTAATATGCTACTTTGTTTGACAATTATTCTATTTGACAGTAACATGTTATTCTGTCTCACAGTAACATGTTATTTTATTTGACAGTAACATGTTACTCTAGCAATATTGTCCAAGAAAGAAAGAAAAATATTTTACTTTATCCTTACTCAATTATGTATTTTCTCCCTAAAGGGTTTACGAAGAAAAACAAATTAAACTATTATTTTCATCAAATAAATATCCAATGAAAAGATTTTAACTGACTTTTTGACTTTTTTAATAGAGAGGTGATGTGACTTAAATAAGATTTATTTAATTTACACTATAAAATGATGTGACTTAAATAAGATTTAAATTAAATGATGTGACTTAAATAATAGTTATTTATAAAGAAAAATAAGATTTATTTAATTTACACTATAAGATTTTTTAATAGATAAGTGGTATGATTTAAATAAGATAATGTAATTTAAATAAGATAGTAATTTTTTAATTTTTTTAAAAGATGCCAAATCATTCCTAGATTTCTCATTCTAATATAAGACAACATAGGTTAATTAACCAAATGAGGAGACGTATAAAAAGATGTCAGCTTCTCTTTGCACATTATATATATATTTTTTTAAGGGAGCTTCCATTTGTCATACTAGTGACTATCTTTATATACAAGATTTATTTAATTCACACTATATGTATACAATTTAAATTTTTGTATTTTTTTCTCATTTAAGCTAATAATTTTTAAATTATACTAAAACGCATTTCATATTATCTTAGGCCTCGTTTGGGAACAAATTATTTTAATATTTTTTTGACTTTTTACAAAAAGATGTGCAGAAAAATAAAGAGGTGATGTGACAATTTTTAGTAACTTTTTGACTTTTTAGCTAAAATAGTCACTCCCCAAACGAGGCCTTAGTAGCCTCAAAATAGATCCCATCAAAACTCACAACAATATTTAGGTTTGGTTTGGGAAGTGGGTTGATTTTTTGGCTTTTTAACTTTTTTGGCTATTTTAGCCTGGGCTAAAAAGCTTGGTTTGGGAAGGACTTTTTGAATTTTTTGGCTTTTTTTGTGAGAGAAGAGTGTAATGATTATGTGTTGGATATGATATTTTATTTGTTGTGGCTAAAATAGCCTATTTTGTTTTTTTGTGACTAAAATAACTAAGAAAGCCTCAAATCTTGCTTCCCAAACGGTGCCTTATTGTGCATCCCAATCTTGTCTTTTTTACCTCGAGCAACAATATTTGGAAATTATTTTTTGGGGGGGCTCTTTTCTAAAAATCTTTTTGTGCAATTTTTAGATGATATTTTTCATTTTTTTTTTATGGATTTCCAAGATAAAACCCAAATTTTTCAAAAATAAAAATACTAAAAGGAAATGACTTGATAGAAATTAGCTTGTAATAAAAAAAATGATTAATACTAGGTCATTCCTAGGAAAGACATCTCAAATATGTCAAGTTGACATTACTCATGGCCACGCAAATACAACCCCCCATTTCTACCCAACAAAATGTACCCACTTTCCAAAGCCTCTCTCTCTTTTTGCCATTCTTTCTTTGCAGTCTTGTCTTGTCTGATCTGTTTTCCCAGAGCTGTTACGAACCCCCACCTAGCAGCTCAAAATGAAAGGACAAACAAAGGCCAGCAGCCAAGGATAAAAACCCTACTCTGTCTTGCATGCATTTACATGATCCCTCTCTCTCTCTCCTTTGCATGGGATCTGGTCCCCACCCCACACAAACCCTAACCCCTAACTTTGATCCCACATCTTTAACTACCTTCTTCAACCATAAATCCCCCACCTGCCTATCCCTTTTAACTATCTTTAGTAATAAATTGAATGAAGGATTAATAATGTTTACAATTCCTAATAATAATTGCCATCAATATGATAATAATATAACCAATATGATAATAGTATAATACAGTTTTGCTGTACATATAAAAATCAAAACTCAATAGGATAATAATAGAATACAATTTTGCTATGAATATAAAAATTAAAACACAGAATGAAACATAATATTCAAATAATTAAATAAGATTTTACAAAAAAATTTGGTTATGTTTGATGCAACTTATTGGGATGTTTGTAGCTTTTCTTTTTTTAAAAAAAATAATAAAAAAAAAATACTTGTACCAGTATTTGGTACGATTTTGCTTACAGTTTATGAAGTGAAAGGAAAGCTATGCATTTAACTTTTACTTTCTGATTATTTACAGTTGAAAAAAATTTAGGCTAAGTTTGGGTACTCCCAAAAAAGCCAAAAAGCTAAAAAGTTACTCAAAAAATTAAAAAGTTAACACTATTCACCAAAAGTCAACAATTACGGCTGCACAACTCCCAATTCAAATTTTTCCCTATAAATCAATTTTTACAATTTTTTATTACACATTTTTCAATAAAAAGTCAAAAAGTTAACCCAAACATCCATATTTTCAACCTCAATTTTTTAGTCCAAAAAGACAAAAAGTGCACTTATTTAGTCTTCCCAAACTTGACCTTAGTATTGAATACTTTTAACTTTAACTTTCTGATTATTAACTTTAAATTTGTAAAAAATTATACAAAAATTAATCATTAATAGGACTCATTTTAAAATAAAATAAAATTATAATTCATATAAATTTATGTCCAAGTTCTGTGATGGAAATGTATGTCTGGACTTGACTAAACCAAGTAAATAACAAACAAATCTCCAATGCAGAGGCTTTGGTAGTTTCAGCCGAGTTGGGATCCTCTCTTTAACGTGTCTCCTTCATTTCCTAGTGGCAACGGCTGAATCCCTTCAGTTACTACTGTTCTGATTTTATTATTGTTATCATTACTTTTTGAGCATTGAGAACTGTGCTATTGTAGGTTTTACTGTACAATTTCTTAGGCCTTGTGTCCTCTGTTCTCTCTATTTATCTCTCTCTGCTACTCTACACTTCCTTCACTAGCTTTGCTGTATAGATTTGGATGAGAGAGTTCAGATTTCTCAATTTCCCTCTTTGATTCATTCTCTTTGGACCTTTCTTTCTCAATTATCAACTGGGTTTTTGAGAAGAATGATTGATTTCAGGAAGTACCCATTTGGATTTTTCTCATGATCTCTAACCTCCAAACTTGTTCTTTTATTCCTCTGTTTTTTGACACTTTTGGGTCACTATTCTTCATCCAACATTTATCCTGAGACCTCCATGAACACCAAAACCATCTTTTTTTAGTCCAACAGAGAAAAACCAATCAACCCATATGGTTCACTCATAAGAAAGTTGATCTTGATAGAACCCAATCTTTCCCATTGTGGACTCCACTGTTTTTGCCCTGTTTTGAGTCTTTTGACTCTGTTTTTAGTCATTTTTGTTTTTGGGTTTGGTTGAGTTCAGTATTAAATCATCCATGAAGGGTTTCAACAACACAAGTGAAGCTATTTTTGTTATCTTTATGCTTTGTTTGGGTGTTTGGTGTAATGGAGAAGCAGAAACTGAAGTAGCACCAATGGAGAAAACAGAGAAAGAAGCTCTGTACTCTACTATTCAGGGTTTTGTGGGTAATTGGTGGAATGGTTCAGATCTTTATCCAGATCCTTGTGGTTGGACTCCTATACAGGTAATTTCTAAGCACATGTTAGCTTGATCGAGACTTCCCAAATAACTGTTTTTAATGTGGAATCAATTTTCTTCAGTACACAAATTTGGACTCAAAATAAATTTCATGTTAGTTCCAACTGTACACACAGTGATGGGGGATCAATTATTAGGCATGTAGATTGTTAAATGTGCTGTATGAGCAAAATCACTTATTTTTGTTTGAGATTCCATTGTGTATTTTTCAACATTGGACATCATGATTGTTAAGTCACCGATTGTCTTGATATCTCAAGTTATTAGGATATGACACAACATTGTATATCAAGCTAACACTCCTTGCGTGCGATCTGTCTCTCACGTGTAGAGACAAAGAACAGTGAACCAAACACTACTTTAGAATTTTAAGTCAAAACTAGATCCTTTTGTTAATTCATTTTGAAGTTTTAGATGAATTTATGATAGCTTGTAACTTCTTGTTTAATTTCATGTCAGACCAAGGAATGTAAACATAAACAAGAAAGCCAAAACAGAAAAAATAATGGATTAGGATACCATCAATGTTGGAACAATTTTCTGTGTATATAAAAAATTTGAAATAAATTCAAACAAAACAAATAAATAACATACCAGATTTATTTATCGAACCCAAATAAAATTAAGATCAAGTTGAGTGTGTGACACTTTGTCCTTAAGACAGATTCGTCCCGCTACGGTGCTTACGGTTAAATGGTGTCTATCTCCCAGGATACAATGATCTTCACAAATTTATAGAAGCACTTCAAATAAATTTGTTCGGCGAACCAAACCTGTGTTCTATACTCTCTTTATAATTTTCCTAAAAACTAGAATGTAGGAAAATGCACAAAATAAAAGAAATAGACAGCAACAAAAAACAATCTTAAGACAGATTCGAATTATTCTGTTTACAGAATTTTTCGTTTGTTTTCCTTTTTCATTCTTCGTAAATAATTTCGGAAGAAAATTATTTTCTGTGGATTTACAAAATAATATTCTGGTTGGAAAAACAAATAGTGATTATATGCTATTTGACAGATAGTAGTAATATACTGTCTCTTTTCTTTGACAACAACTAGTAGTACGATACTGGGGTCATTAACAATTCAGAATATATTTTTGTGGAATTTTTTCAGAAATTAATTTTGGGTTTTAGAAATTATTTTCTGAGTTTTCATTAATTAAAATTCTGTTTCAGTATTTTAATTTAATATATATTTATATATTAAACAAATTGAATAGTTTAATAAATAAAGTAAGAGGTACAAATTATAGGAAACCACTTAGAAACTCAAAAATGAATTTAGAATTAAATTAAATTCTCACAATTACAAACTTTAGGAAACCACTTAGGAATCCAAAATTAGAATTTAGAATTAAATTAAATTCCCACAATAATTTTTAATTGAAAAAATTCAAATGAATTTTATCTAAAAAATTAATGTTAGATTCGAAAATGACGTCAACTTCTCATTCACTCATAAATGGTTTTGACGTTCTGTCTTCACCTCTTCGAATTTGGGTCAACGTTGTTTGGGCCCCTCAAATTTGGGCCCTAAAATATGCCTATATTAAACCATTTTTCCAACAATCAATACAATGGTTATTGAACTCTCATCAGTATTTTACAGCCATGTTTCATCAGAATAAGTTTTGTTCAAGTTTTGTAACTCAGGTCAGGAGCCCTTCTATTCCACATATGAGGGATTTTTTTTTTTTTTTTTTTTTAACCAGGTGTTCAAGATAGCTTCCGCATATGTATGATTAGTGGGACAACTTATCTTAGCTAACCCTTTTATTGCAAAATGACTAAAATATCATTTTTTGGAATTTCTTGCTAAAAAAACCAGTGTTTACTCAAATTTCTTGCTAGAACTCATCAATGTTAGAACTCTGGAAGTCACTTTGTGTTGGATAAAACTTGCTCCTCTTCTTTTTTAATTTTTGGGATGGGGAGGGCATTTGGACAAACTTTTCATATTTTTCATTGTTCTATATATATATATGTATATTTTTTCTAGAAAAGGTAGTCAAGTTTGAATCATTTTTGGTTCAATGCTTGATATTCTATTATGAAACACAATCAGAAACACATCATACCACCCATTCTATATTTCCCTTATAGTGATTGTCCTCTTTTATTTTTTCTACAGGGTGTCTCTTGTGACCTCTTTGATGGCTCTTGGTATGTCACTGCCTTAAACATTGGACCCATTCAAGACAACTCTTTGTCTTGTGTCCCAAATGTCGAATTCAGACTAGATTTATTCGTGCTTACACACCTAAAATCTCTGCTAATCTTCAATTGCTTCATTTCACCCCGCCACCACCCCATTCCAATCCCAAATGGCAACTGGAAAGTTCTTGCTGCCAGCTTAGAGTCACTCGAATTCAGATCAAACCCAGGTCTCATCGGTCAAATTCCCATTGCTTTCGGTGACCTCAGAAATCTCCGTTCACTGGTGCTACTAGACAATGGATTAGCAGGCGAATTACCATCAAATATCGGCAACTTAATCAAATTGAGGAGGTTAGTCATATCCAGAAATAGATTTAGAGGTCAAATCCCATATTCTTTTGGTTGGTTAACTGAACTCTTAATCCTTGACTTTAGTGAAAATTCACTATCTGGGCAATTGGCACCGAGTTTTGGAGGGCTGACTTCATTGTTGAAGCTTGATTTGAGCAACAATCAATTAGAGGGAAAAATTCCAACTGAAATTGGCAATCTAAACAACCTAACACTACTTGATCTTAGTAACAACAAGTTCTCAAATGGGTTGACTAAGTCACTTCAAGATTTGTGTTCTTTAGAAGAGTTGGTCTTGTCAAACAATCCAATAGGAGGAGACCTATGGAGTGTGGAGTGGCACAAGCTGCAAAGCCTAGTCATGTTAGATCTGTCCAATGTGGGCTTGACAGGTGGAGTTCCTGAGACTATGGCAGGGTTAAAGAGGCTGAGGTTTTTGGGTCTTAATGACAACAAGCTCACAGGCAATATCTCCCCAAAGCTTGAAGCTTTGCCCAATGTTAGTGCACTGTACCTAAATGGTAACAATCTGACAGGTGAGCTTGAATTCTCTGAATGGTTTTATGGGAAAATGGGTAGGAGATTTGGGGCTTGGAACAACCCTAATCTTTGTTACCCAAATGGGTTGGTGCCAACTAGGCATGTTCCTATTGGGGTAAGGCCATGTCGGCAAGAGGTTAGGCTCTATGGGTTTGATGATATTGATGGAAAATCCCAATTGGGTAATGGAAGTAATTTGAATCAGAATACCCAATTCATGGCCTCTTTGGGATTTGCAAGGTATGGTGTTGATGGGCCTTGGTGTGCTTTTGCGGTGGAGACATTGATGATTGTTCTAGTCTTGGAATTTTCCCTATAAAAGTTTACTTGGAAGATGATAGCTAGATGTCCAGAAGATTACCCGTTGCTTTGAAATGTAAAAGCATCTTCTTCTTCTTCTTCCTTTTTTTTTGTTAAAAAAAAAAAAAAAAAATTGTGTTTTAAAATCTCTAATATCAAACTGACATCAAGCTAATTTCTACAGTGTAATGTATCATATCATGCTCAATTTCGGAGAAAGTTTCCGAGAGAGTGAGAGAGAGAGGGAGTGATTTTCTTCTTCCTTTATTTCTTTTGGGGTGTGAACTTTTCCGTTGATGCTTTAGTAATTATTCAGAAAGTTCATTTGTTTCCAAAATATTTCTTAGAAATTTTCCAAAGCATGTTGTGTGCATTCTGGGAAAATTTAAAGGGAAATGCCGGGTAGCTCGAATCTACCAGGCTCGAAAATGGCTCGAGAGAAAGAGAGGGAGAGGAAGAGAAACAGAAGGGAGGGAGAGGAAGAAGGTCGGCGTCGCAGCTCCCCGCCCCGCCGTCGTCGTAGCTCCCGCCGCCGCCTCTGCTTCCTCCTCCGTCGCAGTCCCACCGATGTCGCAAAACCACCGTCGTCTGTGCAGCCTTCCCTCCACCGTCGTCAACTTTTAATTTAAAAAAATTTCACCGCATAGAGCCATCATAGAGAAGAGGTCATAAATTATAGAATCTTGACTTTCAAGATCTGGATTACACAGAAGTTCAACTTTATGAAAAAAAAAACAAAACAAAATCGACACCAAAATGACGTCGTTTTGGTGTCGAGCTGCGTTTCGAGCCGCGATATTCGAGCTACGTACCATGATCGAAATTTAAAACATCATATACGTATGAATTTTTAGAAGTTTCTTTCCATCTTGACATTGATCTTATTGGTACGGCTTCTAAAAAGCTAAAAACAAATAATATAAAATCAGAAATTAAAAAGTATTTATTTTTCTGTTTCTCAATAGATATATATATATATATATATATTTTTTGTGTTGTGAATGAGAAATAAATTAAACAAAGAAGAAGTTCACTCATTGTTGAAGATGGATATTTCCAAAATTTTAAAAATATTACATATTATATTAGAAATTTTAAAATAATTTAAAATTATAGGAGTTTGCATTCTCAAATTTTTTGTAGATAATTTTAAAATTATATAGAGTAGCCTTTCAAATTTTTAAACAATAGAGCAGCTTATATAATCCTGGATCTGTACATGTTTGTGGTTGTCTTCACAGTGATAAAATTTTTAAAATTTTATTTAAATCATTTTGGACTCCCACGTAATAACAAGAAATTGTACCAAACACTTTAAACTGACTTTCAAAATGAATTGTTTTTATTTTTATTTTTATAAACACTCCATAAACTTTCTCCTATTTTGAGAAATAGGTTAAAAGTTAATTTTTTTAACTTTTAAAAAAAAATATGTAAAAGTATAGGGAGATGATAGGGACCCAAAAAAAAAAAAATTAAAATGCCAAAAACCTTATTTTTAACCAAATTGCCAAAGTAGGCTTTTATCAAAAGGGGTATGTCCATTACCTGAAACCAGGTTACCAGGTTTAAAGATAAGTCGATTACCTCCCGTATTAGGTGTAATATTTTAAAAGAAGAAAAGACGGCGCATGCAACCAAAAAAAAAAAAAAAAAAAAAAAAAAAAAAAAAATGGAGGCTATGGTGTTGTTTGGAAAATGGGTTGGTTTTTTTTGGTTATTTTAGTCTAGATTAAAAAGTTTGGTTTGGGAATGACTTTTTGATTTTTTGACTTTTTTGACTATTTTTGTGAGAAAAGAGTGTAATGATTATGGGTTGGATGTGATATTTTGTTTATTGTGATTAAAATAGCCTATTTTGTTTTTTGTGACTAAAATAGCCAAAAAAAATTTCAAACCTTCATCCCAAACGGTGCCTACGTGGGACAAGTGGGTAGTTTGCTAAATTATTGATTTCTATTTTTGTGACATTGCAATTTAAAAAAATATTTTTGTTACATTGTATTTTGTAGGGACATCGTGTACGGTATCAATTATGCTTTGAATCCTTTATGGCATGCACTTTTGTCTTTTGCCTTGAGACTTCAATTTTATTCTTGTCCTTCAAACCCAACTATTAGTTATTCTCAATCGTTATTGAAAAAAGCAAACTCTAAAACTAACTTGAAGCTGACAACATTTTCAAAATAAAACAAAATTAATTAGAATGTGTGAAGTTTTTATGAGAAAAATATTGATTGTTTAAAAAACATTTTCATATTAGTAATAAAATTTACAATATTAAAGTAGAATGTCATAATTTTTTATTTTTTTTTCCATCAATATGTAATTACTTTTTGGAGTACCACTAAGCTGTGATTTCTCCTATTTTTGTTTCATTGATTGTTACTTCTGTTGGCATTTGCAGTTGTGATACATTAATACATTGAAAGTGATCCGAGGGGGAATAGACTTGTAGCTTCTAAAGTAGACTTTTAGATATATGGCTTTATTTAGAAATGTTAGTATATTATTCTATGTTAGTGTATATCAGCTGTTAGTAGGGTATATTTCTTTTCCTTTTACTTTATTTTATTAGTGCAACTTTTGGCTCCTCTCCTATATAGAGGAGTTCAACTGAACCTTTGTAATATCTATCAAAAACATTCAATACAACATTTCAATACACAATTCTTTCTCTTTCTTTATACATAAAACTTACATGGTATCAGAGCAAGGTTAACAACCTAGTCATTCTGCTTCACCGGCGGGCGGTAGTCTCGCCTTGGCCGCCCGCCGGACCTCTACACATACCTTCACTCCGCTGCCACAAATTTCACATTTACTCTCTCTCTCAATTTCTTTTACACTCTCCTGGAGTTGAAGCCGAACCGAGGGCCTCCTTCATCGGTACAGATAGATCAGATATGATCTTCACTTCACCTCTCAAGATCTGTTACGATGTACACTTCAAGGAAGAAGATACACAAAGATCAGGATGCGGCACCCACTTTGCCTTCTCAATGTATATACTGCTATGCTTCCATTCTCTAACGCACCAACGCAGCCCAGTGAAACCGGCTACAACCACACCGGTGGTGACGACTCACCCCGGAATCATGAGACACCGGCCTCAACGGTGCTTCCCGAGGAACCAGGACATACTGCCTACGTCCAACCGCATCAGGGTGCGACCACCACTTCATCTTCATCCATGCACCACATCTATGCACGTAGCTTACAGGCTAGTTGCACCAGCAGCTGAACCATGGTGAACCCATAACTGAGGATTAGTGGAGAGGGACGCCCCGGAATCATGAGACACCGGCCTCAACGGTGCTTCCCGAGGAACCAGGACATACTGCCTACGTCCAACCGCATCAGGGTGCGACCACCACTTCATCTTCATCCATGCACCACATCTATGCACGTAGCTTACAGGCTAGTTGCACCAGCAGCTGAACCATGGTGAACCCATGACTGAGGATTAGTGGAGAGGGACGCCGGTGATGGAGTCCTGTCAGACTGCCAAGGTGCTCTAAATGGGCTCAATCTTGGTCCATTCGATGGCATCAACCTCTCTCTCTCTCAACTTCTACTTCAAAGCGTGAAAAACAGCTTAAACGCATTGGTTTGCTAAAACGTAAGAAGCCATAACCTGTTGAGCGTGCTGCACGCCTGAAAGCATCAAAGCCACAATCTGTCACAAGAACAGCTACCCACGTGATCCCCTAACCAATGCACTTTAATCTCTCTCCGTGCTGAGAGAGAGAGAGCAACCCTTTTTTCTTTTAGGGCAAATTACATATACACCCCTCGAGGTTTGGTTAAATTACAGATACCCCCCTGAGGTTTTAGAAATTACATCCCGCCCCCTGAGGTTTGTATTTTCATAACAATTTACCCCCTAAGGTTTAAATTTCATAACAAATTACCCCCTAATTTCTTATGCAAATATAGCATTCAGGGGGGAATTCGTAATTTCTCAAACCTCAGGGGGGTATCTGTAATTTAGCCAAACCTCGAGGGGTGTATATGTAATTTGCCCTAAAAAACAATTACTGCATGTCTCATCCACATATTACAATTACAGTATGCCTCATCCACATAAATTATTATATAAAGTATTACAATTTGTAGTTTTTAAAATATAAAAATAATTCAAATCACCAAAATCATAAACAGAGCAGTAGTAGAGATTGTATGTCTCTGTATTGTTACATTTTTATATGTTTTTGAAAACAAAAACCAACCAGCATATATCATATTTTCTATTTATTATTTTTAGATTTAGATTTAAAAACCAAAAAATATAGATAAATATTACGTTTATTTTTTTCAATTCAAAAAATATATTCAAGTTGAAAACTTTTTTTCAACAGAATATTTAAACTCTTTTTCAATTGAAAACACAAACATAATATTTAAACAAATTGAAAACACAAAATCTTATAAATTACTAGGGGTGTTCGTGATTTGGCGGTTTGGCGGTTCGGTTGCGGCCAAATAAATCTCAAATCCGCCATCCGTCTGTCAAATTGGCGGATTGGAGAAAATCAGTCTGACAAGACTCTGTAAACTGTCCCGACATTTGATTCCGGTTAGCTCCTTTATGGGTCCGACAAGACTCTGTAAACTGTCTCGACATTGATTCCGGTTAGCTCCTTCATGGGTCCGACAAGACTCTGTAAACTGTCCCGACATTGATTCCGGTTAGTTTCTACAAGGGTCCAGCAAGACTCCGTAAACTATCACCACAACTGTCACAATAGTGTCTGCTACAACGGTCCGACATGACCCCGTAAACTGTCTGCTACAACGGTCCGACATGACCCCGTAAACTGTCTTCTACACCGGTCCGACATGACCCCATAAACTGTCTTCTACAACGGTCCGACATGACCCCATAAACTGTCTTCTACAACGGTCCGACATGACCCCATAAACTGTCTTCTACAACGGTCCGACATGACCCCATAAACTGTCTTCTACAACGGTCCGACATGACCCCATAAACTGTCTTCTACAACGGTCCGACATGACCCCATAAACTGTCTTCTACAACGGTCCGACATGACCCCATAAACTGTCTTCTACAACGGTCCGACATGACCCCATAAACTGTCTTCTACAACGGTCCGACATGACCCCATAAACTGTCTTCTACAACGGTCCGACATGACCCCATAAACTGTCTTCTACAACGGTCCGACATGACCCCATAAACTGTCTTCTACAAC